AGCTTGAACTTGTCCACTCACCTTTGCAGTTAGTTAGTCTGCAGGTTGACACTGCACTATGTTTATTTATGTGATGTTTGCGTAAATGCGTCAGTATCCGTATGCTTCCATAAGGAGTAGGCCCAAAGAAAAGGAGTATGCTAGCACGTGTAGCCTTGGCGTTCGGCTCGGTAGTCAGCATGGCCGAGGGATTGTCCGGCCCTGTTGGTTGGGGTGTTCGTCCAGGTGGGGAGAGGGGCCGGAGCGGGAGTGTGTGCACGTGTTTCTGGTACGATGAGTAATCTGTGAACAAAAGACGGAAGCTGAGGGCCGGACAGACTGAAGCTGCAGGTAAATGGGCCAAGTAGCAGATATGATCAGGCATGTTACCCAATGCCGCTAACGGCCGCCTCAGACGTCGATTGTCAAAATGCGTCTTCCGTGTTTTTGTGGTCAGCTTGTCCTGAGCCCTTGAAACTGCCTCGTATCAGCTTCAATGGTGAAGATGGCCCGGGAGTTGGTGGCGCCACTCTTTGGACTGACTCGACTTCGCAAGTGGTAGTCGGGCCTTGACAGAGTAAAACACTCGATTTACCCCTAAGTATGTGTGTTTAGAGGAAACCGCGGTGAATAAATGCAGAGCTTGGCAACTAGTGCAATATCATATCTCGAATCGCCCATGCACTTGCGAAGAAGAGCATCATGTTGTCACTTCCTGATAGTTTTATGCCGACCAAACCGGCCTTCTAAATTGTCTCTACGATATGCTGTTCAGGCCTTCTTCCCACTATTAGACATTCAAATGAGGTATGCAGCAGTAAAAGCTGTGCAACCTTTGACCTAATGTCTGCTAAGCCATGACGATTTGGCAAGAGGCACGCTGAAATTTGCGTATGCTCTAAACTAGATTGAGTCGAAAAAAGTTTTCACGAGCTGTTGTGCGGCCGTGACTTTCGGACCAATATTGCTTTTTAATGGCAATTAACTGCCTTCTTAGCGGTATTTTGTTTGCTGGCCTACTGGTAGAAAAGTATGTATATTGTGAACTGGTGGCGCAGGTGTGCAAACCGCGCTCGGGGTCATATTGCAGCCCCTTTGCGCTCTGAAGCAACGGCTGTTGCTGACGCAGTTGGACAAAGAAGAGCGGAATCTCAGCGCCCACCGCAAGGGCTGGTCACAAGCAGACCCAGAGCACGCCTGGGGAAGAGTGACGCCACCCCAACAGTGTGGTTTTTAATGGCACTGTCCTTCTCGAGCGCTTCCACAGTCTTTCGGCCCACTTTAAACATTCTCATACCCGAGCACCGGCTAGGCCTTCTAAGTGTAAGCCGCACTATTTTTTTGAGTTCGCCTCACCTATTCATGACCAGTTGCGGCACCTGCGAGCTTTCTGCGGCACATTTTCATACTATTCATACAGACTCCTGGATACAGTGGCTGCATCCTGAATGAAGAAACTGTATCCACGTTCGTTGTACGCTTTAATTTGGTTCGCAGGAGGTGTGACCACACAATAGTAGGTGTAGTATTTGCATTTTTATGTTCACTAATGAGCCCCAAATGGCTCAACCTTATTTGTTTCCGGGCGCCATTTTTAGAATGTGCCTTCCGAGGATCCTATGGCAACACTTAAAAAATAACTTTCTGTTTTGGGCACGACACAGCCTAGGCTTGAATGGGGGCGGGCTGTAAATGTACTAGGGCGCGACAACGGAAGAGAAACTAAAAATAGGACAATCCGGTTAAAGGCAGAGCCAATGTCGAAGTAAAGATACTTCCTTTACTTTTACCTCAATTCGTTGATATCTGATACGCGAGTTTGGGCATGAAACCTACCTGTCGTGGGAATTTAAGTCAGCAAAACTAGCAGGAAAGTTAATGAAACCAACACGAGATGGTAGCCATAAAAGTTGCTCTGATGTCAAGACCAAACTGATCACGATCTAGGCGAATCGTCTGGACCAATAGTCCGATACTGCAACAACACAACCGTACATGCCTCACAGTCCTCATGTAGGCAAGACAACGGGGCAAATTCAAGTCTTTGAGTTACTCAGCCTGAGCCCTAGAAACAGGGGATAGTGATACATTGTACACGACGCCTGGCTCCATTTTGCTCAGCCTCGAAGACGGCCTGAAAGCCGGGCTTGGGGATCAGCAGAGTCAAGTTTAAGTTCATCCCAAGCCTCTTATTATTGAAGCCACACTAGTTTCAGGCAAACTCGGTCGGGCTCAAATGATGACTGGTATACAACGAAGCCAAAAATGTGCTTAAAACACTCCAGAGTTTTTCACTTAACTTGTATGGGTTGGGTGATTCACATGAAACAACGCCTAGAGGCATGTGTCCTAAATACTTGGGCTTGAGATGGAGACCTTAAAGGAAATGAAATCGGATCCTTTATAGTCAACTGTGCTGGTAGCAAGAGGTATGATACACATTTAGAAGAAATCGATTCCAATTAACCTTGCAACGAAAACCATCCTTTTAAATTCAGATTATTTCAGCATGCAAGTCTTATTTCTTCCCGCTGGAATTCAATTTGTCTATATCATCTCATCAAGATGGCGTAATAAATGGGGGATATTCTTACGACGGATGCCAGAGGGTTGCTGGGCAATTGTGGCATTCAAGGTAAGGTAGGCCTCACAAAAATCACTTTTAGCTAGGGATTGTCGAGTAAGCAAGTGTGTGCTTGCCACTACAATATACCGCGCTACTTATTTCCGATTT